TATATGTATATAAAATATATAATATTATATATATATATATATATATATATATTAATATATATATATATATTATATATATATATATATATATATATATATATATATATATATATATATAAGAAGGTCAGGGTTTCAAATAGAGGTAGAGCTAAAGAAAGAGTAACAATAATGTTAAGGATAAGTTATGGCAGGAAAAGCGGGACTATATGTGTATTAATTCAAGGATTATGTGGAGTAAAATAATGGTTGGATGTGAAAAGTGGGTTATAGTAAGCGTATATGCACCTGGAGAAGAGAGAAGTGTAGAGGAGAGAGAGAGATTTTGGGAAATGTTGAGTGAATGCGTGGGGAGGTTTGAACCAAATATGAGAGTAATGGTGGCTGGGGATTTCAATGCTAAAGTGGGTAAAAATGTTGTTGAGGGAGTGGTAGGTAAATTTTGGGTGCCAGGGGCAAATAAAAATGGGGAGCCTTTAATTGAGCTATGTGTAGAAAGAGGTTTCGTAATAAGTAATACATATTTTATGAAGAAGAGGATAAATAAATATACAAGGTTTGACATAGCACGTAATGAAAGTAGTTTGTTAGATTATGTATTGGCAGATGAAAGGTTGATGGGTAGGCCCCAGGATGTATACGTTTATAGAGGGGCAACTGATATATCGGATCATTATTTAGTTGTAGCTACAGTTCGAGTAAGGTAGATGGGAAAAGAGGAAAATGGCAACAACAAGCAAGAGGGAGGTGAAAGTGTATAAACTAAGGGAGGAGGAAGTTCGGGTGAAGTATAAGCAACTACTGGCAGAAAGGTGGGCTGGTACATGTATGAGTAGTAAGGGGGGGGGGTTGAAGAGGGTTGGAATAGTTTTAAAAATGCAGTATTAGAATGTGGGGCAGAAGTTTGTGGTATTTATAGGAGAGTGGGTGCAGGAGGAAAGAGGAGTGATTGGTGGAATGATGAAGTAAAGGGCATGCTAAAAGAGAAAAAGTTAACTTATGAGAGGTTTTTATAAGGCAGAAGTGTTGTAAGAAGAGTAGAGTATATGGAGAGTAAAAGAAAAGTAAAGAGAGTGGTGAGAGAGTGCGAAAGGAGAGCAGATGATAGAGTGGGAGAGGCACTGAAAATAAGAAAAATTTTTGGAGTGAGTTAAACAAGTTAAGAAAGCCTAGAGAACAAATGGATTTGTCAGTTAAAAACAGAGTAGGGGAGTTAGTAGATGGGGAGATGGAGGTTTTGGGTAGATGGCGAGAATATTTTGAGGAACTTTTAAATGTCCAAGAAAGAAAGGGAAGCGGTAATTTCATGCACTGGCCAGGGAGGTATTCCATCTTGTAGGAGTGAAGAAGAACAGGATGCGAGTGTGGGTGAGGTGTGTGAGGCATTACGTAGAATGAAAGAGGGTAAAGCAGTTGGAACTGACGGGATCATGACAGAAATGTTAAAAGCAGGGGGGGATATAGTGTTCGAGTGGTTGGTATCTTTGTTTAATAAATGTATGAAAAAGGGGAAGGTACCTAGGGATTGGCGGAGAGCATGTATAGTCCCTTTATATAAAGGGAAGGGGAACAAAAGAGATTGTAAAAATTATAGAGGAATCAGTTTACTGAATATACCAGGAAAAGTGTACGGTAGGGTTATAATTTAAAGAATTAGAGGTAAGACAGAATGTAGGATTGCGGATGAGCAAGGAGATTTCAGAGTGGGTAGGGGATGTGTAGATCAAGTGTTTACATTGAAGCATATATGTGAACAGAATTTAGATAAAGGTAGGGAAGTTTTTAATTGCATTTATGGATTTAGAAAGGCATATGATAGAGTGGATAGGGGAGCAAGTGGCAGATATTTGGGAAATACATGGAATAGGTGGTAAGTTTTCTAAATGCTGCAAAGAGTTTTTATGAGGATAGTGAGGCTCAGGTTAGGGTGTGTAGAAGAGAGGGAGACTACTTCCCGGTAAAAGTAGGTCTTAGACGGGATTGGGAATGTCACCATGGTTGTTTAATAATATTATAGATGGGTTTGTAAAAGAAGTAAATGCTAGGGAGTTTGGGAGAGGGGTGGGATTAAATTATGGGGAATCAAATACAAAAGGGGAATTGACACAGTTGCTTTTTGCTGATGATACTGTGCTTATGGGAGATTCTAAAGAAAAATTGCAAAGGTTAGTGGATGAGTTTGGGAGTGTGTGTAAAGGTAGAAAGTTGAAAGCGAACATAGAAAAGAGTAAGGTGATGAGGGCATGAAATAATTTAGATAAAGAAAAATTGGATATCAAATTGGGAAGGAGGAGTATGGAAGAAGTGAATGTTTTCAGATCCTAGGGAGTTGACGTGCCGGCGGATGGATTTATGAAGGATGAGGTTAATCATAGAACTGATGAGGGAAAAAAGGTGAGTGGTGCGTTGAGGTATATGTGCAGACTAAAAACGTTATCTATGGAGGCAAAGAAGGAAATGTATGAAAGTACAATAGTACCAACACTTTTATATGGGTGTGAAGCTTGGGTTGTGAATGCAGCAGCGAAGAGGCGGTTGGAGGCAGTGGAGATGTCCTGTCTAAGGGCAATGTGTGGTGTAAATATTATGCAGAAAATTCGGAGTGTGGAAATTAGGAGAAGGTGTGGAGTTAATAAAAGTATTAGTCAATGGGCTGAAGAGGGGTTGTTGAGATGGTTTGGTCATTTAGAGAGAATGGATCAAAGTACAATGACATGGAGAGCATTTAAATCTGTAGGGGAAGGAAGGAGGGGTAGAGGAAGGAAGGGGGGGTAGGGGTCGTCCTCGAAAAGGTTGGAAGGAAGAGGTAAGGGAGGTTTTGTGGGCGAGGGGCTTGGACTTCCAACAGGTTTGCATGAGCGTTTTCGATAGGAGTGAATGGAGACGAATGGTATTTGGGACCTGACGATCTGTTGGAGTGTGAGCAGGGTAATATTTAGTGAAGGGATTCAGGAGGGGTGTTAATGTTGCAGTTTAAAAACTGTAGTGTAAAGCACCCTTCTGGCAAGACAGTGATGGAGTGAATGATGGTGAAAGCTTTTCTTTTTCGGGCCACCCTGCCTTGGTGGGAATCGGCCAGTGTGATAATAAAAAAAATAATAATAAATTCAGGGAAACCGGTTATTTTTATATAGCCGGACTTGAGTCCTGGAAATGGGAAGTACAATACCTGCACTCTAAAGGAGGGGTTTGGGATATTAGAAGTTTGGAGGGATATGTTGTGTATCATTATACGTATATTCTTCTAAGCTGTTGTGTTCTGAGCACCTCTGCCAAAACACTTATGTGTGAGTGAGGTGAAAGTGCTGAATGATGATGAAAGTATTTTCTTTATGGGGATTTTCTTTCTTTTTGGGTCACCCTGCCTCGGTGGGAGACGGCCGACTTGTCAAAGAAAAAAAATTATTCTTAACACATCGGGCGTTTCCCACCAAGGTTGAGTGGCCTAAAAAAGAAAAACTTTCATCATTCCCTCCATCCCTCCACAGAAGCGCTTACACTAGTTATAAATGTACAACATTAACACCCCTCCTTCAGAATGCACTGTACTTCCCATCTCCAGAACTCAGATCCGGCCTGCCGGTTTCCCTGAATCCCTTCATAAATGTTACCTCACTCACACTCCATATAAAAATACTGAACAAACAAAGAAAAATTAATTAAAAAATTTTAAATGCTACATATTCCTCATGATGTTTATTATCATTTTGTAAAAGAAAAACTATTTCTGAATAAATTATTTACTTAAAAGCATATATATACAAAAATATACAACACAGTAATATTTTAATTACATGTCCCATGCACGTTACCTTGGGGTTGAAGTTTCTCTTGAAAATATCTGAGAGACTCTGAGCGAAGAGCTGAGATTTGCCGGTCTCAGTGGCGTACAGGATAGTCACACGGACTCGTCTGTTGAGGACTGCGTTGTACAAGGTGCTAGCAAACAGCACTCCCCTGCTCAAAGGAAATTAGAAAACAGAACATGGTGAAATAACTACGCAAGACTGAGCACAACGATCTTGATGACAAACATTCTACCTTTATGTATATTATCAGTACTGATAAAAAAAAATACCATATTCAGAGAAAACGATTATTTATGCAGTAAGATTCGCTTTGGATGCGGCTTTATCATGTCACTATATTTATAAAGCTCTAAACAACGTAGTAAAAAGTAATTATAATGAAAATAATATAATATTAAGCAATCATATATCGATTATGTACTTAGCAGATCGCCAAGGGACGAGAATTAACCTTGCTGTTTTTGCCTTCCATCCTTGCATCAAACACCTAAATTAATGAAATGCAGAGCATAGATGCTCTTTCAACGACAGGAAAAATGATGCTCTCCCTGATTACTGTCCAGCTTCTCGCGCTGAGAATAATAATACATTACAAGAAAGAGAACAATATTTTGACACGTTCCTGGATCTTAGTGATATATCTCCTCGCCATGAACCAACGAATTTTACACTTCTCGACATTGCCTGCTAACTAATTTTTCTTACATGCGAGCCGAACAGGTTCCATTATAATTGATAATTGTTTACCAGGCAAAATACCTATGACATACAAGGAATAAAATATCTTAAATATTTTTTTTTTGCTCTGATCGTACCCTAGAAGATGGATAGGATGAGGACTCACAGAGCAGCCTTCCTGAAGAGCTTCCTAGAATGAGAGGCATCAATCCCTTGCAGGCCTTTGGCGTGGCGGGCGAAGGTAACCCAGGCGGGCTCCTGGTACTCATAGGCAGGCTTCAGATAGTAAAGTGACATCTCCTGGTGGAAGACGGGAGTCAGAGAGCCGGAGATGGGCGGCACTATCCACACCCAGTCTGCAGGACACCCGCCTCGCTGGCGGTGCTCGTTCTCCATGAACTGCATGAAGGACTCTGCTGCGGTGTGGTGGTCCATCAGCGTCACCTTAGCCTCCTGCAATAGACACACTCACTCAAATTTAAAAGGTTAGAACTCAGGCAGCTGCTGTGGCTACTACACCTATGTCACCTTCACCTCAAGGAAATCTTGAAGGAGTGGCAAATAAAAAAAAAACATTTCCTTTAATTTTTCAAATATTTTTGTTTATATATATTGTTGTTTAGAGGGTATGGTGTTTTACCTTAAAACAGAAAATTTTACATTTTAAATATTAAACCAATATTTACCGAACTTATTTCACTTCCTGGAGTACTGATGAGTACATCACTCTTAAAGTACATGCACGAAGAGCTTGCTTGCTCTGCATACTGCAAGATGAACCTCACATGTGTTGTATATAAGATATTGAATGTCACTGTGTTGATATTCCTGTGTGTGTGTGTGTATGTGTGTATGTGTGTGTATATATATATGTGTGTGTGTGTGTGTGTGTGTGGTGTGTGTGTGTGTGTGTGTGTGTGTGTGTGTGTGTGTGTGTGTGTGTGTGTGTATTTGTGTGTATGTGTGTGAATGTGTGTGTGTGCGTGTTTGTGTGCGTGTGTGCGTGTGTGTGCGTGTGTGTGTGTGTGCGTATGTGTGCGTGTGTGTGTGTGTGTGTGTAATCAAAATTCGAAAAAAATCCTGATTGTCACATGCAAAAAAAAATCAAATTGAAGCAATCCAAAAATGCCATAGTTAAACTTGGAATGCAAGATTGTAATAACTACTCTACAAAAGGTTAATTATTATGACAACTTAACATGAAAAGTAAAGCAAACATGAACACAAAATTTCACCAAATGCCCAAAAACAAGATTAAAATAAGTTTAACTCTCCCCTTCCCACCTGAGAATGAAGAACGTACCATAACTGATAAAGACTTATCAGTGAATATAAAGAGGGCAAATTGCATCAGCTACCTGGAAGGAGAACAGGACAGCTTGATTGATCTCGATGGTGGTTACATCTCTCCAGAGAGTAACGTTGGAGCGGGTGTCAAGACCCATTTTCTCAGCAACGGGCTTCGTAAAAGAAAAAAAAACATTACAATACATTCAAGTTTCAATGTTAGAGTTTTTTATTAATATATATATATATATATATATATATATATATATATATATATATATTATATATATATATATATATATATATATATATATATATATATATATATATATATATATATATATATACATATATATATATATATACATGATTATATATATATATATATATATTATATATATATATATATATATATATATATATATTATATATATATATATATATATATATATATATTATTTATTTATTTTAATAAGACACTGGCCGTTTCCTACCGAGGCAGAGTGACCGGAAGGATAGGAAGAAACACTCATCATTCACTTCATCACTGTCTTGCCAGAGGCTCGCCGGTATCACATTTATAAAACTGCAACTTATTAACACCCTTCAAAGTGCTGGCACTGTACTTCCCACCTCCAGGACTCAAGTCCTGCTAGCGGGTTTCCCTCAATCCCTTCATTAAAGTTACTTTGCTCACACTCCATCAGCACGTCAAGTCATAAAAAGCATTCCTTTCCACTCGCTCTTAACACGTTCATGCACGCTTGCTGGAATTCCATACCCCTCGCACACAAAACCTTCTTTACTCCTTCCAACCTTTCGTAGTCCGACCCCTACCCAGCCTTCTTTCCACTACAGATTTATATGCTCAACAAGTCATTCTATTTCATTCCATCCTTTCTAAATGTCCAAGCCACGTCAACAACTCCTCCTCAGCCGTCTGGATAACGCTTTTAGTAACTCCGCACCTCCTCCTAATTTCCAAATTAGGGATTTCCTGCGTAATTTTCACACTGCACATTGCCCTCAGACACGATATTTTCACTGCCTCCAGTCTTGTATATACGTACATACACACATAAATACATACATACATACATACATACATACATACATACATACATACATATATACATGCATACATACACACACACACACACACACGCATACACACACACACACACACACACACACACACACACACACACACACACACACACACACACACACACACACACACACACACACACACACACACACACACACACACACACATGTTCCGGAGCTCAGGGACGTGTCCTACGAAGAAACGTTGAGGGAAATCGGACTGACGACATTGGAGGACAGGAGGGTCAGGGGAGACATGATAACAACATACAAAATACTGCGTGGAATAGATAAGGTAGACAGAGACAGGTTGTTCCAGAGAGGGGACACAGAAACAAGGGGTCACAATTGGAAGCTGGAGACTCAATCGAGTCAGAGGGATGTTAGGAAGTATTTCTTCGGTCATAGAGTCGTCGGGAAGTTTAATAGCCTAGCCAGTGATCTAGTGGAGGCAGGAACCATACATAGCCTTAAGACGAGGTATGAAAACGCTCTGGAAGCAGAGAGAGAGAGAGGACCTAGTAGCGATCAGTGAAGAGGAGGGGCCAGGAGCTGAGTCTCGACCCCTGCAACCACAATTAGGCGAGTATAATTAGGTGAGTGTACACACATACACACACACACACACACACACACACACATATATATATAAATATATATATATATATATATATATATATATATATATATATATATATATATATATATATATATATATATATATATATATATTATATATATATATATATTATATATATATATATATATATATATATATATATATATATATATATATATATATATTATATTTATATATATATATATATATATATATATATATATATATATATTTATATATATATATATATATATATATGTAAATTATATATATATATATATATATATATATATATATATATATATATATATATAATATATATATATATATATATATATACATATATATATATATACACATTATTACATAATATGGTACAGAAGATTTAAGAGATACAGTGTTGATATAACGGTGGCATATACGGTACATGTTGGTACGTGTGTATCACCGATTATAAGGCCAAAATCTCATCCAGCTCCTTAGAACTGGAGCGTGTGTCCAAAATACAGCAGGCATTACCCCTTTGAACAGCCGCACTGAGCAGCTGGAACAAAAAACTAGCTGCCCTGGGATCCCTAGTTACCCTGATGAGTCTTTTTCCCATCTCCTTAAGTGCCGGATCAGCCGGGCTGTGGTTCGTACGTTGGACTGCGTGCGGCCGGCCTGGTTGATCAGGCCCTGATTCACCCGGAGGCCTGGGCGTGGACCGGGCCGCGGGGGCGTTGATCCCCGGAATAACCTACAGGTAGACTCCAGGTAGGAAAGAGCAAGGTAATGAGAATAACAAAACAAAATAGGCAATGAAAAGTTGGATATCAGACTGGAAAGAGGGCCTATGGAGACAGTGAATTTGTTCATGTATTTGTGATTGGACTTATTGGCAGACGGGTCAATAAAAGATGAGCTGAACCATAGAAATGACGAAGAAAAAGACGGGTGGTGCACAAGGCATCTGTGGAGACAAAAAACCTTATCTATGGATTCAAAATGGGGAATGTACTAGGGAATCCAGTAATGGTTTCAAGACTCATATGGGAGTGAAACATGGGTTTTAAACGTTGCAGCGATGAGATGGCTGAAGGCAGTGGTGATGTGTCTGGAGGTAATGTATGGTGGGAATGTTATACAAAAGAATTCGTAGTTTGGAGCTTTAGTGGAGGTGAGGGGTTAGTAAAAGTATTATCCAGAGAACTGAGGAGGAAGAGTTATTGACGTGCTTTGGACATTTTGAGAGGATATAGCAACATAGGGAGACTTGGAGGGTGTATAAGTTTGTACTGGAGGGAAGAGAGGTTAGGGGTCGTTCTAGGGAAAGTTAGAGGGAAGGGGCAAAGGAGCTTTAGGTATAAGAGGCTTAGCCATCCAACAGGAGTGTGCGAGCATATTAGACAGAAGTGAGTGAAGATTAGTGGCTTGAATGAACTGACGTGCTGTTGGAGTGTGAGCAAGGTAACACATATGAAGGGATTCAGAAAAACCGGGTTAGCCGATCTTAAATCCTGGAGGCGGGCAGTACAGTGCCTGCACCTTGAAGGAGGGGTGAGGATAGCGCAGTCTGGGGTGGCATCTGAACTGTAAAGTCAGCAAGCCTCTGGCAGTAAATAACATTAAAAGAGTCTTCTTTTTCGGTTCAGCTTAACTCGGTAGGAGACGGCCGGTGAGTTGAAAAATCAAAACATGCTAGTAAAGTGAGTAATAGGTATGAAAAAAGTGGTAAAAACATTTCATAAAATCATAAGTAAACAAGAGGTGCATGTAGACTACTTGGTTGATCAAGGATCTTAGTAGAAATAACTTGGTGCTCATGTATTTATAATTGCTGGTGTATGTATTTGTTAATGCAGCTTCGATCAAGTAAAGGTGCAGCATTAACATACCTGGAGGACGTTGTAGCGCTGGGCATCACACAGGTCTCTGGTGGCAATCTCTGTGGACATGTACCAGCCGTTGAACGGCGCAGCGGTAAATTCGATGCCGCCACAGTCGAGCATCATGGAGGATACAGCAGGCATGGCGAACCACTTTAGTTCCAGCTCCTTGAACCACTCGTATCTGTTCATGAACTGTCTTATTTCCAACAGTGGTAGTTTACTTCTCATCTAGTTATAAATTTCTCTGTTCGTGATACTCAATGTTTACTGGCTCTAGTTATGCTTGCTTGGCGATTTAATGGTAACTAAAGAAGAATTTTTAAGACCTAGGTGCTCTGCAAGAAAAAAATTCGACTTTCTTCATGTTTACATGACGTGGGTTTAGACCAGTACCATTGAATACTAATGTTTAGACCAGTACCATTGAATACTAATGTTTAGACCAGTACCATTGAAGACTAATGTTTAGACCAGTACCATTGAAGACTAATGTTTAGACCAGTACCATTGAAGACTAATGTTTAGACCAGTACCATTGAAGACTTATGTTTAGACCAGTACCATTGAAGACTAATGTTTAGACCAGTACCATTGAAGACTTATGTTTAGACCAGTACCATTGAAGACTAATGTTTAGACCAGTACCATTGAAGACTAATGTTTAGACCAGTACCATTGAAGACTAATGTTTAGACCAGTACCATTGAAGACTAATGTATAAACCTGCCGTGGCAGCTCTCGTAAACATAACTTATATAATATAATTGTCATCATGAACATGATTAACATCATGAACATAGTTGACGTCATTAACATAATTGATATCATGAATATGATTGACATCATGAATACAACTGACATCATGAACATAATGGACATCATGAACATAATGGACATCATGAACATGGTGGACATCATGAACATTTTTGACATCATGAACATGGTGGACATCATGAACATGATGAACATCATGAACATGGTTGACATCATGAACATGGTGGACATCATGAACATGGTTGACATCATGAACATGATGAACATCATGAACATGGTTGACATCATGAACATGATGGACATCATGAACATGGTTGACATCATGAACATGGTTGACATCATGAACATGGTTGACATCATGAACATGGTGGACATCATGAACATGGTTGACATCATGAACATGGTTGACATCATGAACATGGTTGACATCATGAACATTTTTGACATCATGAACATGGTGGACATCATGAACATGGTTGACATCATGAACATGGTTGACATCAGGAACATTTTTGACATCATGAACATGGTTGACATCATGAACATGGTTGGCATCATGAACATTTTTGACATCATGAACATGGTGGACATCATGAACATGGTTGACATCATGAACATGACTGACATCATGAACGTTTTTGACATAATAAACATGGTTGACATCATGAACATGGTTGACATCATGAACATGGTGGACATCATGAACATGGTTGACATCATGAACATGGTTGACATCATGAACATGGTTGACATCATGAAAATTTTTGACATCATGGACATGGTTGACATCATGAACATTTTTGACATCATGAACATTGCTGACATCATGAACATGGTTGACATCATGAACATGGTTGACATCATGAAAGTGGTTGACATCATGAACATGGTTGACATCATGAACATTTTTGACATCATGAACATGGTTGACATCATGAACATTTTTGAAAACATGAACATTGTTGACATCATGAACATGGTTGACATCATGAACTTGGTTGACATCATGAACATGATTGACACCATGAACATGGTGGACATCATGAACATGGTTGACATCATGAACATAGTTGACATCATGAACATGATGAACATCTTGAACATGGTTGACATCATGAACATGGTTGACATCATGATCATTTTTGACATCATGAACATGGTGGACATCATGAGCATGGTTGACATCATGAACATGGTTGACATCGTGAACATAGTGGACATCATGAACATGGTGGACATCATGAACATGGTTGACATCATGAACATGGTTGACATCGTGAACATAGTGGACATCATGAACATGGTTGACATCATGAACATGGTTGACATCATGAACATGATTGACATCATGAACATGGTGGACATCATGAACATGGTGGACATCATGAACATGATTGACATCATGAACATGGTAGACATCATGAACATGGTAGACATCATGAACATGGTGCACATCATGAACATGACTGACATCATGAACATGGTGGACATCATGAGCATGGTTGACATCATGAACATGGTTGTCATCGTGAACATAGTGGACATCATGAACATGGTGGACATCATGAACATGGTTGACATCATGAACATGGTTGACATCGTGAACATAGTGGACATCATGAACATAGTTGACATCATGAACATGGTTGACATCATGAACATGATTGACATCATGAACATGGTGGACATCATGAACATGGTGGACATCATGAACATGATTGACATCATGAACATGGTAGACATCATGAACATGGTAGACATCATGAACATGGTGCACATCATGAACATGACTGACATCATGAACATGGTGGACATCATGAACATGGTGGACATCATGAACATGGTTGACATCATGAACATGGTGGACATCATGAACATGATAAACATTAACAAATTCTAATCCCTGAACTCAGATGTGAAGTAATTCATCTTGAAAATAATTTTAATCATTGATTACAGTTTAAGTCAATTTTGATGACAAGCCATTTACATATAATGTTCAATTTTTCATGGGACAAAATCACGCAATGAATTATTGACCAAATTATCGCTAGTCTACTTACGATAATAATCACTAATATGACTCACGTAACTGCAGTAGGGCAATTGCAAACAAACCAGGGTACGGATGGGGTTAGAACTGGCCTGGAGTTATACGACTCACATGCCATGAGTTCTAACCCATCCTGTACCATGGTTTAATCACTATTACATTGTTTTATGAAATTTATTTAAGGCAGACAGAAACGTAAGCCAAAAAACAGTATTTTAAAGAAGCATTAAGGAGGGAAAAAGTTCTAGATTTTACGAATGTTTGATCCCCAGACGAGCTTTGTCACCTACAGTGAAACTCTGTCACCGACAGTGGAACTTTGTAATCTACAGAGGAACTTTGTTACCTGCAGTGGAACATTGTCACCTACAGTGGAACTTTGTCACCTACAGTGGAAATTTGTCACCTATAGTATAACTTTGTCACCTACAAAGGAACTTTGTCACCTACAGTGGAACTTTGTCACCTACAGTGGAACTTTGTCACCTATAGTATAACTTTGTCACCTACAAAGGAACTTTGTCACCTACAGTATAACCTCGTCACCTACACTGGAACTTCGTCACCTACAGTGGAAATTCGTCATCTATAGTGAAACTTTGTCACCTACAGTGCAACTTTGTCACCTACAGTGGAACTTCGTCACATATAGAGAAAATTCGTCATCTACAGTGGAACTTTGTCACCTACATTGGAACTTTGTCACCCATAGTGAAACTCTGTCATCTACAGTGGAACTCTGTCACCTACAGTGGAACTTTGTCACCTACAGTGAAACTTTGTCGCCTACAGTAGAACTTTGTCACTTACAGTGAAATTTTGTCACCTACAGTGGAACTTTGTCATCTACAATGGAACTTTGTCACCTACAGTGGAACTTCGTCATCTACAGTGCAACTTCGTCACCAACAGTAGAACTTCGTCACCTATAGTGGAAATTCGTCATCTATAGTGAAACTTTGTCACCTACAGTGAAACTTTGTCACCTACAGTGGAACCTTGTCACCTACAGTAGAACTTCGTCACCTACAGTAGAACTTCGTCATCTATAGTGGAAATTCGCAATCTGTAGTGGAACTTTGCCACCTACAGTAGAACTTTGTCACCTGCAGTGGAACGGTGTCACCTACAGTGGAACTTTGTCACCTACAGTGGAACTTTGTCACCTACAGTGGACCTTTGTCACCTACAGTGGAACTTTGTCACCTATAGGGGAACTTTCTCACCTATAGTGGAACTTTGTCACCTACAATGGAACTTTGTCACATACAGTGGAACTTTTTCACCTATAGTGAAATGGTGTCACCCAATGGAACTTTGTCACAAACAGTGAAACTTTGTCACCTATAGTGGAACTTTGTCACCTATAGTAAAACTACGTCACCTATAATGGAACTTTGTAACCTATAGATGAAATCTGTCACCTATAGTGGAACTTGGACACCTGCAGTGGAACTTTGTCACTTATAGTGGAACGATGTCACTCACAATGGAGCTTTATCACTTACAGTGGAACTTTGTCATCAACAGTGGAACTTTGTCATCTACAGTGTAACGTCGTCACCTATAGTGGAAATTCGTCATCTATAGTCGAACTTTGTCACCTACAGTGTAGCTTTGTCACCTATAGTGAAACTTCATCACCTATAGTGGAACTTTGTCACCTCCAGTGGAAGTTTGTCACCTACAGTGGAACTTTGCCACCTACAGTGGAACGGTGTCACCTACAGTGGAACTTTGCCACCTACAGTTGAACTTTGTCACCTACAGTGGAACTTTGTCACCTACAGTGGAACTTTGTCACCTACTGTAGAACGGTGTCACCTACAGTGGAACGGTGTCACCTACAGTAGAACGGTGTCACCTACAATGGAACTTTGTCACCTACAGTGAAACTTTATCACCTGAAGTGGAACTTTGTCACCTAGAGTGGAACTTTGTCACCTACAGTGGAACTTTATCACCTACAACGAAATTTTGCCACCTACAGTGGAACTTTGTCACCTACAATGGAACTTTGTCACCTACAGTGGAACTTTGCCCCCTACAGTGGAACTTTGTCACCTACAGTGGAACTTTGTCACTTACAGTGGATCTTTGTCACATACAATGGAACTTTGCCCTATACAGTGGAACTTTGTCACCTACAGTGGAACTTTGTCACTTACAGTGGAACTTTGTCACCTACAGTGGAACTTTGCCACCTACAATGGAACTTTGTCACCTACATTTGAACTTTGCCACCTACAGTGGAACTTTGTCACCTACAGTAGGACTTTGCCACCTACAATGGAACTTTGTCACCTACATTTGAACTTTGTCACCTACAGTGGAACTTTGTCACCTACAGTGGAACTTTGTCACTTATAGTGGAACTTTGTCACATACAGTGGAACTTTGCCCCCTACAGTGGAACTTTGTCACCTACAGTGGAACTTTGCCACCTACAATGGAACTTTGTCACCTACACTTGAACTTTGTCACCTACAGTGGAACTTTGTCACCTACAGTGGGACTTTGCCACCTACAGTGGAACTTTGTCACCTACAGTGGAACTTTGTCACTTATAGTGGAACTTTGTCACATACAGTGGAACTTTTCCCCCTACAGTGGAACTTTGTCACCTACAGTGGAACTTTGCCACCTACAATGGAACTTTGTCACCTACACTTGAACTTTGTCACCTACAGTGGAACTTTGTCACCTACAGTGGGACTTTGCCACCTACAGTGGAACTTTGTCACCTACAGTGGAACTTTGTCAATTACAGTGGAACTTTGTGACCTACAGTGGAACTTTGTGACCTACAGTGGAACTTTGTCACCTACAGTGGAACTTTGTCACCTACAGTGGAACTTTGTCACTTACAGTGGAACTTTGTCACCTACAGTGGAACTTTTTCACCTAAAGTGGGACTTTGCCACCTGCAGTGGAACTTTGTCACCTACAGTGGAACTTTGTCAATTACAGTGGAACTTTGTGACCTACAGTGGAACTTTGTCACCTACAGTGGAACTTTGTGACCTACAGTGGAACTTTGTCACCTACAGTGGAACTTTGTCACTTACAGTGGAACTTTGTCACCTACAGTGGAACTTTTTCACCTAAAGTGGGACTTTGTCACCTACAGTGGAACGGTGTCACCCACGGTGTATGAAACGTAAATAAATTAATTTTGTTCCTTCAAAAAGTGCTTTTAAATTACAAATTTTTTTTAAAATCAGATATAGATGATCTAGCTTTCAAATAATGTGAGTAATTTTCCTTCACTTTTATTATTATTATTATTATTATTATTATTATTATTATTATTATTATTATTATTATTATTATTATTATTATTATTATTATAATTATTATTATATTTATTATTATTTTTATTATTATTTTTATTATTATTATTATTATTATTATTAATTATTATTATTATTATTATTATTATTATTATTATTATTGTGTGCTGTTATTGTAATTACATGTGGTTCTTCAATACTGGGTTAAAAAAAACTGGTTAGAGAAATATACCACTAATTCTAAGTCACAAAAAATTTATTCTATCCTAGGTATAAAGATCAAGATTTATGCATCATCCACACTTACTTAGGATGCTGAAAAGAAACCTGTAGCACCAGTTCATCTGGGATGCAGAACCACTGGGGATCCCCCGTAGCTGCTGATAACACAAGAGGAAGAACGTCGAATCTCCCACCAGCGCCTTTCCAGCCGAGGCCCTCACACAACTGAAGCATATAAGGGTGTGTGTAAGAGAGATGTGTACATGTTTTGCAGGTGTGCCTCTGTAAAAGAGGTGTATACAAGGAAGTGTATGTTCATGTAGACAGATGTGAACATATTTGAGAATGTTAGGTAGGTGTGTGGACATGTTAGGCAGGGGATGACTTGCTAGACAAATACAGATATGTTATGCAGATGTATGTCAATTAAATTCTTGATAATAGTCCATCCTGGACTATTATGAGGTCACATATGAGCAAGAAAATGGAGAGAAGATCAGAGGACAAATTGATAAATGGAAGCGGAAGAAAGTTAGAAGAGAGGTCAGGTGACGAGAAAAAAAGGTTGGGAGATGAGTAGCTGTAATATTAGTGGTATCAGCAGTAACGGTAATAGTAGCAGTAATAGCAGCAGTAGTAATAGTAATAATAATAATAATAATAATAGTAGTAGTAGTAGTAATAGTATAGTAGTAGTATAAATAGTAGCTGTTGTAGTAATACTAAATGTTGATGTAGTAGTAGAAGTAGTAGAAAGTTAGTCGAGATAACGAATTACTTCCTTAGGATGTTTATTTCAATAATTTTACTGCTACTGCTCCATTCTTTACTACCACTACTACTACTACTACTACTACTACTACTACTACTACTACTACTACTACTACTACTACTACTACTACTACTACTACTACTACTACTACTACTACCACTACTACTAATTTTTCTGCTAGAACTCCCCTCATAGCCTATTTTTCTGGTAGTCTCATCACCTGGCCAGTCTTCTAACTTTTTATCCCCTTCCTTTTTCACAGACTAAACTTCAAAGTTTCTTCACATATTCTCGCTCACACATAGACCTATGGTGCGGTCTTTTTGCAAATTGTTCCAGCCACGATACTGGTACTTTTATTCTTCAGTACATCTCATTACAGTGCTTAACAGAAATGGCAATAGGCAGCTGGTCATTGAATTTTATATGTTCAGTATTACACCAATAAATGATCATCTTATCCCAGTACTCAGGGATTTACAGAGTAACAAAAACGACAAAGAAAAATTTACATCTAAGATTTGCATTATGTTTTCTTTCCAAGTCCTACAAGCTGAGGAAGGCAAAACAATGAGAACTTCGTCTACTGTACAGATATTTAATCTGTTTACAAAGCCTTTTTCAGCTTTACTCATTGCCTGTAATGTTTCCCTTGATAATGATAACAATATACATGCCTTTACATGCTGAACAAGTGCTTACATATATGTATTTATGTGTCACGAGAGTGTCCACTTGTCTGTCTTGTATTTCAGGAAAATGTGAGCGCCAGGTAGGTAGGTATTATATTGATGTGTGAGGCAGGTGTGTGTGTGTGTATTTGTGTAAGCGTGTAAGTTAAGTGAGCATATGTTAAGCACGTATAAATGTGTCAGACAGTGTGTACATGTTAAACAGATTTATACATGGTTGATAGGCATGGATGTGTTATGTAAGTGTACACACTAATTTTGTAATACATGGTTGATTTTATTGTTATTATTATTATGATTATTATTATTATTATTATTATTATTATTATTATTATTATTATTATTATTATTATTATTATTATTATTATTATTATTTATTATTATTATTAATGCTATTTTATATTCCAACAGAATCACTGAAACCATAATGTTCGTGTAGTATCTAGGGGCTACGAGGAAATTAAGTTTACTCTTAGAAACAGGATGACAGCTACAAAATAACTTAGCAAAAAACTGTGTTTTTCAGCTACCGAGGAAAAAACACCACAAACTTAGCGTCTTTGAATATAATACAAAGCAAAATACACTCAAGGTTAACCTTCGTGAAGGCGACGTAGGCGGGATCACCGGTGATGGTTCCGTCCGGGTTCTCATACCCAGCGTAGCTGATGAGTTGCTGGTTCCACACCCGGAAGTCTCTCTGTCCGGGTCGGCGCTCCGGGAACACAGTAATGGCTGACCTAACCAGCGATAATGAAGATACCATGTTACAACTCGAAAGAGAGTAAACTTTATTCAGTTTAAAATAACATATATTTTAGATTTCAAACAGTATTTTGGATATCATTCACTCGGAAACCGAGCAAATGATATCCAAGACTATTAACTGCTATATAAATTAACAGACATATTATTATAGATACTTATACGGTATTGATAAAGTATCAAAAATTAACCTATTATAAAGCATCAATTTTGAACATACACTTAATTATAATGAGTTACATGGGCTCAGCACCCACGGTCCAGTCAAATTTCGAACCTACTCGCCATATTTTCAAATTTTTAGTCAAAACGCTTTGATTCAACCAAGGAGAAATTCTCACAGCGCTCGCAATGTCTTGGGTACTCTGAGGACGATCTTCGTCAGTAGTTCCTCCGTTTTTCAATGATGGCAACTGATTTCCCTCGATTTTATTTACTTTCCATATGTTTCTTTTAAAGAATGTGAAATAGTAGATGAATGAGAAAAGTGTTCTAAAACGTTATTTAACTGTATATTTCGATGAATCAGAGATGTATAAAACATTTTCTGACAATTTTTTTTAAGCTAATATACGTAAATTATCACATTTTGAAAACTGTAACTGCTGCTACTATTGAATTTTATGGTAAACCTAAGCTACATCATATAATTTTATTTCAAGAATAATTCTTAGCTGTTTTTACATTGTATTATATTATTCCAAATGACATAAATGCAATGGAAGACTCTTCATGTGGTTACAGAAAACCAATGAATGGTGGACAAGAAGTGAAGAAAACTGAAGACAAACTGTTACACAAAAGTGCGACCAACCTGATGTTTCCATTATTTGTTGCATACTTGATATGTTCGCAGATGATATCAAACATTTCTTGAGGTGTTGTGACATCACGGCCATCAAACAGCTGATAATTTGGAAAACATTTTTTTTACACTATTTTCATGATATTATGTTTGCACACACACACACATACGCGCGCGCGCGAGCGCGCGAGCGCGCGTGTATGTGTGTGTGTGTGTGTGTGTGTGTGTGTGTGTGTGTGTGTGTCTATCTGACGAGGATAGTGAGGCTCAGGTTAGAGTATATAGGAGAGAGGGAGATTATTTCCCAGTGATGGTAGGCGTTAGACAGGGAAGTGAGATGTCTCTCTGTGGTTGTTCACTATATTTCTAGATGGAGTTGTAAGAGAAGTGAATGCTCGGGTGTTGGTAAGAGGTGTGGGGTTAAAAGATAAAAAATCTAACACAAAGTGGGAGTTGTCACAGTTGCTCTTTGGGAGTGGACGTGTCAGCAAATGAATCTATGAATGATGAGATGAATCATAGAATTGATGAGAGGAAAAAGGTTGAGTGGTGCACTGAGGAGTCTGTGGAGACAAAAAAACATGGAAGTAAAGAGAGGAATGGATGAGAGTATAGTTATACCAACGCTCTTATATGGGTGTGAAGCATGGGTGATGAATGTTGCAGCGAGGAGAAGATGTCATGTCTGAGGGCAATGTGTGATGTGAATATAATGCAGAAAATCTATAGTTTGGAAATTAGGAGGAGGTGTGGGATTGCCAAAACTATTATCCAGAGAGCTGAGAAGGGATTGTTGAGGTGGTTCAGACGTAGAGAGGCTGGAACGAAATAGAACGACTTCGAGAGTGTATAAATCTGTAGTGGAGGGAAGGCGGGGTAGGTGTCGGCCTAGGAAAGGTTGGAGGGAGGGGGTTAAGGAGGTTTTGTGTGGGGGGGGGGATTGAACTTTCAGTAAGCATGCGTGCGCATGTTAAATAGAAACGAAGAGAGACAAATGGTTTTTAGGACTTGACATGCTGTTAAGCGTGAGCAAGTAACATTTATGAAGGGATTCAGGGAAACCAACGAGCCGGACTGGAGATGTGAAGTACAGTATCTGCACTCTAAAGGAGGGGTGTTAATGTTGCAGTTTTATAACTGTAGTGTGAGCACATTCCTGGCAAGACAGTTATTGAGTAAATGATGATAAACCTTTTTCTTTTTCGGGCCACCCTGCCTTGATAAGAAATGACCGATGTGTTAATAAAAAATAATATATACAACATCTTATATCGAATGCAATGTCCATTAGTATAAACATTTAAATAATTAACATCCAAAGAAAATTGAATTAAGGAGATAAATCCCTAAGTCTGCATGTATTGTGATTAAATAGATATCCTATATTATCTAAAAAAATACGAATGATTATAAAATTAACTGTTTTGTAACCACCTGTACTCTCATAAAGTATTCTTGGCTCTCTTTACATTACAACTACTGTATGAACGCTATCATCAAGCAACAATCATCTAAAGCAAATTATTCCACAAATATATTTCCCAGTTAGAGCCGTAGCTATGAGCTCATGCAACACGGAACACCTTATTCAAATCTCATAAGTTACTTAAACTTGCAAGAATATTTAAAACATTCTTGTGTGCACTCTTTATCCGGCAAAACCTATTCTTTAATTTTAATTTTGTTATATAGCTGCAGCTGATCTCTTGTAGGAAAAAAAAATATTTGCTGAAGTTCATTTACAACTGAAACTCTGAAAGATTAAGAGGCCTTAAATTAAAAGAGTTTGCCAGCGTCAGTCATATGTACATACCTCCAGTCTGGTCCAGTTAATCCTGCCTATACATCTTGGAGCATTCCTCCAAGCCAGCTTAGCACCGAACTGTAACTCTTCCTTGGTAAGACGGTAAGTACCTCGCTTGCGTATACTAGCTGACACCTCTTTCCAGCGAACCACGTGTTCCTCGCTCTCCAACCTGTACAACTAGTGTTAGTTTATGCTTGAGGAAAAACAGCTGGTATGACTGGCTTCCTGTGTTTTTGAATCCCACTCACTCCTTGAGTTGTTTACATAGTGTCATTACAATTTTCTTCACATCTACACACACACACACACACACACACACACACACACACACACACACACACACACACACACACACACACACACACACACACACACACACACATATATATATATATATATTATATATATATATATATATATATATATACAAGGAATTCGCAAGAGCAGGAGAAATATACACAAACACTGATCACTGGCTGAAGGAGATTCGAATCTACGAACCTTAGAACAAGGTACGTAGTGCTATACCAATCTCGCCACACTGGACCAATACCTTGGAGTCCAGCTTGCGCTAGACTTTGATGAAAGGCAGCCAGCTTTCAGGGAGAGGGCTTACAGCTTTTCATCTCATCTCCTGCATGCATCAGCCTTACTAGAGATTTTAACAATGCAAAGAATTCGCAAGAGCAGGCGAAATATACACAAACATTTGTGTATATTTTGCCTGCTGGCTGCCTTGGATCAACGTGTAGCGCAAGCTGCACGCCAAGGTATTGTCCAGTGTGAGTAGATTGGTATAGCACTGCGTACCTTGTTCCAAGGTTCGTAGGTTCGAGTCTTGTTCAGCCAGAGATCGATGTTTGTGTATATAAATATATTTATATATATATATATATATATATATATATATATATATATATATATATATATATATATATATAATATATATTTTATATATATATATATATATATATATATATATATATATATATATATATATATATATTTCATTTATTTTAATGTAAAAATTAATAATTTTTTACCGAAAGAACCTTAGAAAACTTACTTAACCTTATTGTAACAAGAGCAATTTAATTTAGCCTAATGCAACTAAATATATTTTAGATAAGTTTTCAATAATTTAATAATAAACAAACACAATGAAATGTCTTTTTCTTTAAGATCAGAATGAGTTTTACCAAATTATTACGTGCACAAATTTTCACTTGCCTTATTCGGCAAGAAGAGTATTGCTATACAAGCTAAAATAGCAAGTTTTACCTATCTATCTATCTATCTATATCTATATATATATATATATATATATATATATATATATATATATATATATATATATATATATATATATATATATATATATATATATATATATATATTATATATATATATATATATATATATGTCGTGCCGAATATGTAAAACTGGTCAATTAGCAAGAACTCATTTAAAATTAAGTCCTTTCTAAAAAAAATTCTCTTATACGTTTAAAGATATATTTTTTTCATTAATGGTGATGTAAAAACTTACCTAACCTTATTATAACAAGCGCAATTTATTTTAGCCTAACCCAACTAAATATATTTTAGATTTGTTTACAATAATTTAATATTAAACAAACACAGTGAAATATATTTTTTCGTTAGGTTAAGAATGATTTTGGCGAAATTATTGCATACACAAATTTTCACTTGTCCTATATGGCAAGATGAACGTTGCTAATTAAGCCAAGATCGCAAGTTCTGCCTATTCGGCGCGACATATATATATATATATATATATATATATATATATATATATATATATATATATATATATATATATATATATAATATATATATATATATATATATATATATATATTATATATATATATATATATATATATCGTGCCGAATATGTAAAATTGGTCAATTAGCAAGAACTCATTTAAAATTAAGTCCTTTCTGAAATTTTCTCTTATACGTTTAAAGATATATTTTTTTCATTATTGTTAATGTAATAATTTTTAATTTTGCACCAAAAGAATCTTAGAAAACTTACCTAACCTTATTATAACAAGAACAATTTATTTTAGCCTAACCCAACTAAGTATATTTTAAATACGTTTACAATAATTTAATACTAAACAAACACAATCAAATATATTTTTTTCGTTAGGTTCAGAATGATTTTGGCGAAATTATTGCATACACAAATTTTCACTTGTCCTATATGGCAAGATGAGCGTTGCTATTTAAGCCAAGATCGCAAGTTCTGCCTATTCGGCACGACATATATATATATATATATATATATTATATTATATATATATATATATATATATATATATATATATATATATATATATATATATATATATGCATATATATATATATATATATATATATATATATATATATATATATATATATATATATATATATATATATATTATATATATATATATATATATATATATATATATATATATATATATATATAGCGAGAGAGAGAGAGAGAGAGAGAGAGAGAGGAAAGAGGGAGGATAGAGAGAGAAAAGAGAGAGAGGTTGGGACCAATGACATATTTGTCTTTTTATCAGTTTTTAATGAAGTAAGTTTAATATTATGACTGAACGCACTAACTTTTTCAAGGAGGTGTAGTATTCATCAAAAAATTCCTTGGCCTGGACCATCATCTCAGCCGGGGGTCGAGGAGTGGTGAGCATCCTCCTGATGTTCATGAAGGACCCATTACACACCTGCTCATTGCACTCTCCTCTCTGTAAATATATAATGTATATATAACAAAAAAAAGCACAATACCGTGACCGGAACGATACACAAATAACCCGCACATAAAAGAGAGAAGCTTACGACGTCATTTCGGTCCGACTTGGACCATTTACAAAGTCACACTAACCAGAAGTGGAGCAGGACGGCTATATATAGGCAGGAAGAGGTGGTGGTAGTAGTAGTAGTAGTACAAGAATGGTATATATATAGCCGTCCTGCTCCACTTCTAGTTAGTTTGACTTTGTAAATGGTCCAAGTCGGACCGAAACGTCGTCGTAAGCTTCTCTCTTTTATGTGCGGGTTATTTGTGTAATATATAATGTATTTATTAAAAATAAACTCCTTGCGAAATCATCACTGTATAATCTACTAAACAGAGGATGAGGTCAAAAGTAACACCGGAGAGACTGATGTGGAAGACCAACAATGTGAGGTGGATACATCAATAAATAATAATAAACTACAATTGTAATAAATTATAATACATTTGACAGTGTATTACAATTTATTTTAAAAATAATGGAAGTACTACTATGTGACCCATTGTCTAAATTCTTCAGGAAGTCACTGGAGATTGGGCAGTCTCTGAAATATATGTTCAGCGAATTTTGCCTCAATATTCATCCGAAGAGATGAACAGGTAATCCAGAATTAGTCCACGATTCAATGGAAAAAAAACTCTAGACATTTCGATTTATCCTGAACCGATAGGTCATCTGAAATTTCTGCTTGAAATTTTGGGTTAGATGTGAATTGCTGGTGGTGCGGTGCAGTGAGCTCGAGTCATCGGCTACGTAGAGCTCACCTACTAACCTGAATACTTGACATGCAATCTTATTTAAGTTTATAGAAAACGGAGAGGATTATGCAGCACCTGGAGAAAATGTACTCATAAAATACAGCTCGTGTGGGTTTACTGAAGGACAGTCCTGTCACACAAATACAGTGGAAAGAGACTGTGGGTGAGAGAGCAATGTATACCTTAATTGTAAAAAAAAAAAAAAGGCATTTTCGTATAAGACACCAGAGGCTGATTGGCAAATGAAAAGAAAATCTAATAATAATGGGAGTAGCAGAATACATAAGTGGAAGGAAAGACAGTATGTACTTCTCAGAGAGGACGTATCATAAAGTGGAGGAGTGAAGTGTACCGTCCTAAAGCGATAAGTACTGAGACCGGTTCTTCTGATATAAGAAAACCTGGATAATATAAAATAAATGAAGAAAATATAAACTGAAGAAAAAGAAAGCCTAAAAGACAACCTGTAATATCTACAAGGATGATTAGGCAAAATGATGAAGAAATAAATCTCCAGCAAATGTTTAGTTGTTAAAAATATGAAAAACTATAGACTAGGGGTATAGAGACTACAGACTTTGAAAGAGATGAGGTCTTTGGAGCAAGCATAGTACCGAGACTGGAAGAGCATATTAACTACGAAGAAAGAAAATGCATTCAAGAAATCCTAAAAAAAATATTCAGATCTCTACAGTTATAGATCAGGCCTTGTCATGCAGCACCATCCTGGAGCTCGTGCTTGCTCAAGCATGCACGTGGATGGTCGTAGCGTGGAGGGAGATGATAGGAACTAACTGTGATTACCTGATTTCCTTATTTTGACATGGTAATATTAATTTAGCCAAGACCCCGGATAAGCTAAAACCACCAGAGTCCTGGACGATTGTACTAGACATGGTAATCAACGCTGACTCCATACACGGTCGCCAACTTCGAAGATAGAAAGGAGCAGGGACTATATTATACCTAAAGAACATGAATCCATGCTTGAGGCTCACTGACGTGCCCGGGCTGGGAGAAACATGGCTTGTGAAGCAGGCTGCCCAGCTAATGTGGCATTTGTGATGGCCGAGTATTCTAGAGCGCTGCCTGGGAATCTGTCCGCCCCAGTAAGCAGTATCGAGTCCTGCTGACTGCGATATTTCTCTATATATACCCGCTTGTTTCTGCTATATGTGTGTGTGTGTGTGTGTCGATTACGTACGAGCACATTAACATACATGCGCATACAAGGACATATATACAAAGATACACAAGTGAATTACACACGGAGAAGGAGGTGCAGAAGCTGCTAAGTGACCTTGATACCTCAAAGGCGATGGGACCGGACAACATCTCCCCGTGGGTCCTTGAGAAGGAGCAGAGACGCTGTGTGTGCCACTAACCACAATCTTCAATACATCCCTTGAAACTGGGCAACTACCTGAGGTATGGAAGACTGCAAATGTAGTCCCCATTATTAAGAAAGGAGACAGAAACGAGGCACTAAACTACAAACCAGTGTCACTGACGTGTATAATATGCAAAGTCATGGAGAAGATTATCAGGAGGAGAGTGGTGGAGCACCTGGAACGGAACAAGAGTATGAACGACAATCAGCACGGACTCATATAAGGCATATCCTGTGTCACAAACCTACCGGAGTTTTATGACAAGGTAAGAGAAGTAAGACACGAGAGAGAGGGTTGGGTTGATTGCATTTTCCTGGACTGCAGGAAGGCCTTTGACACAGTTCCTCAAATGAGATTAGTGCAGAAGCTGAAGGATCAGGCACATATAACAGGAAGGGTACTGCAGTGGATCAGAGAATACCTTACAGGGAGACAACAACGAGTAAGGAAGTCATGGTAGGTGATAAGGTATCACAGTGGGCGCCTGTGACGAACGGGGTCTCACAGGGGTCGGACCTAGGACCAGTGCTATTTTTGGTATATGTGAATGACATAATGGAAGAGATAGACTCAGAAGTGTCCGTGTTCGCAGATGATGTGAAGTTAATGAGGAGAATTAAATCAGATGAGGATCAGGCAGGATTACAAAGAGACCTGGACAGGCTGAACACCTGGTCCAGCATGAAGATTGGGGAAGGACAAAGAAGACCGCAGACAGAGTATAGGCTAGGTGGCCAAAGACTGCAAACCTCACTCAAGGAGAAAGATCCTGGGGTGAGCACAACACCGAGCACGTCTCCGGAAGCACACATCAACCAGATAACTGATGCAACATATGGGCGCCTGGCAAACCTGAGAATAGCGTTCCGTTACTTTAGTAAGGAATCGTTCAAGACTCTGTACACTGTGTATGTCAAGCCCATACTGGAGTATGCAGCACCAGTTTGGAACCCACACCTGGTCAAACACGCCAAGAAACTAGAGAAAGTGAAAAGGTTTGCAACAAGGTTAGTTCCGGAGCTCAGGGGAATGTCCTACGAAGAAAGGTTGAGGGAAATCTGCGTGACGACGCTAGAGGACAGGAGGATCAGGGAAGACATGATAACGGCATTCAAAATACTGAGTGGAATAGATAAGGTGGACAGAGACAGGATGTTCCAGAGAGGGGACACAGGAACAAGGGGTCACAACTGGAAGCTGAAGACTCAAACGAGTCAAAGGGATGTCAGGAAGTACTTCTTAGTCATAGAGTTGTAAGGAAGTGGAATTGTCTAGTAAGTGATGTAGTGGAAGCAGGAACTATACATAGCTTTAAGACGAGGTATGACGAAGCTCAGGGAGCAGAGAGAGAGAGAGGACCTAGCAGCGATAAGTGAAGAGGCGGGGCCATGAGCTGAGTCTCGGCCCCTGCATCCACAATTAGGTGAGTAAAATTAGGTGATTACACACACATACAGACACACACACACACAAACACACACACACACACACACACACACACACACACACACACACTTTTAATAAAACAATATTGCCTTGATGTAAATTATTCGAAATGCAACTATTTGAAAATACAAGTAAACACATTCGCTAATAATCACAAATATACAGACACATGCACGTCCGTGCGTAACGCACAAATTCCTTTCTAACTCTGTTTCCTCCCAATTATATTTCCTGGGACAATAGTGATGTAAGAGGAAAGACCGGCTGGAGAGAGTGACCTTGGACAGAACATGTGCTCATCTATTTGTGGTTTATAGGGGTCGATTCACAGCTCCTGACCCTGAGTCTTCGCTGATTGCTACTATGTCAACTATCACCCTCTTACATGAGCTTTAGCGTATCTCTTCTTAAAGCTATGTATGGATCCTACCTCCACTACATCATTCTCCAGATAATTCCACTTCTTGATAACTCTGTGAGAGAAGAACTACTTCCTATTATCCCTGTGACTCATATGAGTTTTCAACCTCCAGCTGTAACCCCTTGTTACTGTCTCCCATCTCTGAAACATTCTGTTCTTATCCACCTTGTCAATTATTCTCAGTATTTTATATATGTGTTACCACGACTGTGTCTGCAGTTATCTCCATCATAGCATTGCACTGTCAATCTAAATTGAACTTATTCTAATTAACGAGTCCCTTTCTTTGAGTCTCTTACATTAAGGAGGGTCTCTTGATTCTGACGATGAAATCTTGGTCCCAGGATAACAGACAGTGCACCGTAGTTTTTATTGGCGCAACGCGTCACCAATAAGACTACTGCATTATTCTTCTCATAACTAGTTGGCGAGGAACTGGAGATATCTTCTCCCTATTCAGATCACCCTTAGTCACATCCCAGTTCTGGACACCGTATGACTGCGTGAAACTCATAACAAAAATAGTGATAATGATGTCTTTGAGCTTATAAAATGATTTGTAAATTTTCATTTCGTGAAGCATCGGTTGAAACGCACATTAACTTCCACATGCAAATATGTAAACATTTACCCACTCCTTCTGCCTTCTTACTGGAATGTTTGATCATGCATTTAATTTTCTCAGTCACAGTCACCTTTATGCTCACCCGTCACACCCATCTGTCACAACCACTTTACATGCCTACCACCACACCCGCCCGTCACGACCATGATCACCCGTCACGCCCACTTTCAGCCACACCCGTCACGCCCCAGACCCTCTTCGTGTGCAGAGTAACACAACTCATCAATCATACTGTAACATCCACCGTCACATGGGATACTCACCTCCTTACATACATTAGTGTAGCCGGGATCATCAACCCTCTGCCAGATTGCCAGGTTGTTGGATGTAATGGAGGAGGATAAGAAGTCTGGCAAGGTAGCCTGAGAGGTTGTAGATATGCCCCTCCTTACATACAACACTCACCTACAGAATCCTTTGCTCAAAAGACAGCCTTGATTTGGGTTTGGGTTTGAGAAAGCCCTGCTTAATATAAGCCAGTAGGCCTTCCGCAGTGTTCCTCCTTTCCTATGTTCTTATGACCCTCTGAAAACTTATTCTTCATATTTGTAAATTCTCCACTAACAACAGATGTACCGGCCTCCCAGCGTGACATACCTGCTTGGTGTGCACCTGCAGAGAGTCGTAATATTCTTTCTTGGAAGCGAAGTTTTCCAGACGACGAGGCTTGAGCACCTTGCACTCCATACTTGCACGTAGCTAATCTGTTTAAATTTCAAAATAAAATTTAAAAAGATAAAAAATTAAACATTTTAAAATAAATAATTAATAATAATACTACTAATAATATTAATTAATTAATTAATAATAGTAACAATAATAATAATAATAATAATAATAATAATAATAATAATAATAATAATAATAATAATTATTATTATTATTATTATTATTATTATTATTATTATTATTATTATTATTATTATTGTTGTTGTTGTTGTTGTTGTTGCTGTTCTTGCTGTTATCATAGACAACTAAACAACTACTGCAGCACATGGGCGTCTGGCAAACCTAAGAATAGCGTTCTGACACCACAATAAGGAATCGCTAAATACTCTGTAAACAGTGTTCTTCAGGCCCATACTGGAGTATGCAGCACCAGTTTCAAACCCACACCTGGTCAAGCACGTCAAGAAATTAGAGAAAGTGCAAAGGATTGCAGCGAGACTAATCCGGGAACCAAAGTTAGAGGAAATCGACCTGACGACACTGGAGGACAGGAACGACAGGGAGAACAAGCTAACGACATATAAAATGCTGAGAGGAAATGACAAGGTGGATAGAGACAGGATGTTTCAGAGATCAGACACAGCAACAAGGGACCACAATTTATAAGCTGAAGGCTCGAGGGAGTCCAGGGATGTTAGGAAGTATTTCTTCAGTCATAGAGTTGTCAAGAAGTGGAACAGTCTGGAGAGTGATGTAGTGGAGGCAGGATTCATATATAGCTTTAAGAAGACGTATGATAAATCGTATGGAGCAGAAAGTAAACCTAGTATAGACCTGTGAAAAGCGAGGCCAGGAGCTATGACTCGACTCCTGCAACAACAGTTAGATGAGTACACACACACACACACACACACACACCACACACACACACACACACACCACACACACACACACACACACACACACACACACACATACACCCCATGCACTCACACTATATATATATATATATATAAATATATATATATATAATATATATATATATATATAATATATATATATATTAATATATATATATATATATAATATATATATATATTAATTTTATTTACTTATGGTTTACTACTTTATTCAGGGCATAATTTGGATATCCAAATAATAAAAGTCTTATTAATTAAATAATTTTTGATATTATCCACAAAAATTAGATGGTCAGTCCTACTGCCTTCTCTGGTACGAAGGAGCTGTCAGTTTGCCATATATATCCTTCATTCATATTTACATACCTACATAAAATTAGGCATTGTTTATATATACAGAATCATGCACACATACACACACACCTACGTATAAATGTCGTGCAGAATTGTTAAAACTTGCAATTTGGGCTTAACTAGCAACGCCCTTCTTGCCGAATAAGGCAAGCGAATATTTGTGTATGCAATAATTTCTGAACCTAACGAAAAAAATGTATTTCATTGTGTTTGTTTATTATTAAATTATTGTAAACTTATCTAAAATATATTTTGTTGAATTAGGCTAAATTAAATTGTGCTTGTTATAATAAGGTTAGGTATGCTTTCTAAGGTTTGTTTCGTACAAAATTATTAATTTTTACATTAATATACATTAAAAATATATATCATTAAACGCATAAGAGAAAATTTTAAAAAGGACTTAGTTTTAAATGAGTCCTTCCTAACTGACCAATTTTACCTTTTTCCCATGGAGTATGTATATATATATATATATATATATATATATATATATATATATATATATATATATATATATATATATATATATATATATATATGTATATATATATATATATATATATATATATATATATATATATATATATAAATATATAATATATATATATATATAATATATATAATATATATATATATATATATATATAATATATCAATATATCAATATATCTATATATATATATATATATATATAATATATATATATATATATATATATATATATATATATATATATACATATTATAATATATATATATATATATATATATATATATATATTATATATATAATATATATATATATATATATAATGCAATAAGATCACAGTAAACAGGTGATTTCAGAATATGCAAAACAACCACTCTGAAAGAATAGAGAAATTCCAAGCGCTTTCGTGACTACTCACATTATCAAGGAACTATGAAAGTAAAGCATACAAGGAAGCTATATAAAGGGTCTGGCCAGCACCTCACTATCAGATCCCACAACGGTTAAACACCTGACGCGCGCCGACCCAACTTGGATAGGTCCTTTGCACAACTCACCCACAAACTATTCTACCCAAGAAAATTTAAAAATTATTATTTGTCCAGTGTATTATTAAATTCTTCGCAAATTCTATTAAGATTAAGATTAAAACAACATAAATATAGCATTAGAACTGGACAAGATTCCAATGCTCTATTTATTCATGTAAGAGATTTTAACCATCCAATTGATTTTCAAAAAGTTGAGAAAGTAGTATCAAGCAAGTCCATGGTCGACAGGAATATAATTGAATCTTGTTTCATAAAAAGCAGTTTTGACAATAATATGAATATTTCCTTTGGTTTATATAAATTAGATCCATTTATAATTAATAGAATTTGGGAAGAATTTAATAATACACTGGACAAATAATAATTTTTAAATTTTCTTGGGTAGAATAGTTTGTGGGTGAGTTGTGCAAAGGACCTATCCAAGTTGGGTCGGCGCGCGTCAGGTGTTTAACCGTTGTGGGATCTGATAGTGAGGTGCTGGCCATACCCCTTATATAGCTTCCTTGGATGCTTTACTTTCATAGTTCCTTGATAATGTGAGTAGTCACGAAAGCGCTTGGAATTTCTCTATTCTTTCAGAGTGGTTGTTTTGTTATATATATATATATATATATATATATATATATATATATATATATATATAATATATATATATATATATATATATTATATATATATAATATATATATATATATATATATATATATATATATATATATATATATATAATATATATATATAATGTCTTGCCGAATATGTAAAACTGGTCAGTTAGCAAGAACTCATTTAAAATTAAGTCCTTTCTGAAATTTTCTTTTATACGAGTGGACTGGTGTGGGTCACATCCTGGGTGTTAGTGGACTGGTGTGGGTCACATCCTGGGTGTTAGTGGACTGGTGTGGGTCACAACCGTTTAAAGATATATTTTTTTTATTAATGTTAATGTAATTTTTTTTAATTTTGCACCAAAAGAATCTTAGAAAACTTACCTAACCTTATTATAACAAGAACAATTTATTTTAGCCTAACCCAACTAAATATATTTTAGATTTGTTTACAGTAATTTAATACTAAACAAACACAATGAAATATATTTTTTTCGTTAGGTTCAGAATGATTTTGGCGAAATTATTGCATACACAAATTTTCACTTGTCCTATATGGCAAGATGAACGTTGCTATTTAAGCCAAGATAGCAAATTCTGCCTATTCGGCACGACATATATATATATATATATATATATATATATATATATATATATATAATATATATATATATATATATATATATATATATATTTATATTATATATATATATATATATATATATATATATATATATATATATATATATATATATATATATATATACAGTATAATTGGAAATAGGCAATGTTAACTATGCAGAAGAAGTCACAGAGGGATAAACCATAAGCTCAAAAAAGAAAGAAAGTAGGAGCACTGTACCAGGTTCACAGAACATCTCCATAAATGTAACTCCAAAATCCTACCTCCAACAAACAATGTGAAACGATATATAAAATTCAAGACAAACTGATCGTTTGACAAAGAAAACACTCTGTATTTTTGTGAAAAAATAATTTTACCGATAAGATTATGAATTTTATACGTAATTAGGACAAAATGTATGTGTGTGGAAGATAGTATTTTGGAATCACATTCATGGAATGGGTCGGTGAACCTACTACACTGATTCTTCTTTCCTTTTTTTTTTGAGCCTATAGTCTGAAATATTTAACTCTAATTAATATACACCTTTTTCCTTCATATTGGTTGTATACAATTTTAATAATATATGTTAAAAGTTTGACTTATTTGTAATTTACCGTTTTATTGTAAAATCATTACTATTATTTTTTTTTAATTGTGGACGAATAGGACTTTTACATTGTATTTTAAGGTATCACCTCACGCTGTGAGGTGATACCTTAATGAAGCATCACCTCACTTTGTGAGGTGATGCTTCATTAAGTTTGGTAGCACCTCACTTCATTAAGTTTGGTAGCACCTCACTGGGTGAGCTGTTATTTTCTCTGTGGTATCACGTCAGCACGATGTGGACACATGCTGTACATGTACACACACACACACACTGATAAATACGCTTTCATGTACACACACACACACACATATGCATACGAGTAAGCAAACTTACACACACGTACATACGCGCAAACGCACACTCAGGCAATCAGGAACATTAGGCACAGCTGAAAGTTGATACCACAGATGTGCACGGCGATGTTACGAAATTCTTATTTACCCTTAGACTACTCATGAAGTGCAACGACCTAGACAGCGAAGTGATAAAGGCAGGATGCATAAGAAGATTTAAAAATAGGCATGATAGGGTTCACACAACCACGAGATACAGTGAACCTAGTAACCGCCAACGGAGAGGCCTTACCAAGAGCTGATACATGACCTCCTGTAATCACAATCAGGTGAGTACAAATGAGTACACACACACACACAGTGAAGAGGCGGGGACAGGAGCTATGACTCGACCCTTGCAACCACAACTAGGTGAGTACACACACAAACAAACACACAGAAAAAGTACAATGAACCTCTTGGAGCATGGGGAGAGTGGACTCAGTAACCTAGTAACGACCAACAGAGAGGCCGTGCCAAGAGCTGTGAATCGACCCTGCAATCACAAACAGGTGAGTACACACACACACACACACACACACACACACACACACACACACACACACACACACACACACACACACACACACACACACAAAACACTAGAAAATTGGTACCTTGAACTCAGTTGTAACATGGAGAATGATTACACGGGGAAACTGTAAAAACGCAGATGACTTAGCAGGAAGAAAGGAAGAAAGGTTGTCGGGAAGTGAAATGGCCTAAACGAAGAGGTGGTAAAGACAATAGGTATGACTGAGCCCAAGAGGCTAGCAAGCAGCAAATCTGGAATGAGGTAAGTTATGAGAGAGCCTGGAGCTGAGACTCAACTGCAACCACACGTAGGTGAATATACACATAAAGACACTCATACATTCAAGTATACACTCACGTAAACACAGACACGCTCACTCTCGCGCTAACGCATCCACAGAGAGACGTGCGATATACTGTACGTGTGTTGTCTGGAGTGTGTTGTGGTATGTAGACTGTGTTATGGTGTGTAGTGTGTTGTGGTGTGGAGAGTGTATAGTGGTGTGTAGAGTGTGTTGTGGTGTGTAGAGTGTGTTGTGGTGTGTAGAGTGTGTTGTGGTATGTAGACTGTGTTATGGTGTGTAGTGTGTTGTGGAGTGGAGAGTGTATTGTGGTGTGGAGAGTGTATTGTGGTGTGTAGAGTGTGTTGTGGTGTGTAAAGTGTATTGTGGTGTGTAAAGTGTATTGTGGTGTGTAGAGTGTATTGTGGTGTGTAGAGTGTGTTGTGGTGTGTAAAGTGTATTGTGGTGTGTAGAGTGTATTTTGGTGTGTAGAGTGTGTTGTGGTGTGTAAAGTGTATTGTGGTGTGTAGAGTGTATTGTGGTGTGGAGAGTGTATTGTGGGGTGTAGAGTGTGTTGTGGTGTGTAAAGTGTATTGTGGTGTGTAGAGTGTATTGTGGTGTGGAGAATGTATTGTGGTGTGTAGAGTGTGTTGTGGTATGTAGACTGTGTTATGGTGTGTAGTGTTGTGACATGTAGCGTTAAAGTGTGCAGTTGTTGTGGTGTGTAGAGTGTGTTGTGGTGTGTAGAGTGTATTGTGGTGTGTTGAGTGTGTTGTGCTATATAGAGTGTGTTGTGCTGTGTGGAGTGTGTTGTGCTGTGTATTATGTTGTGGTGTGTAGAGTGTGTTGTGGTGTGTAATGTGTTGTGGTGTGTAGAGTGTGTTGTGGTGTTAGAGTGTATTGGGGTGTGTAAGTGTGTTGTGCTATATAGAGTGTGTTTGTGCTGTGGGAGTGTGTTGTGCTGTGTATTATGCTGTGGTGTGTAATGTGTTGTGGTGTGTAGAGTTTTGTGGTGTGTAGAGTGTGTTGTGGTGTGTAATGTGTTGTGGTGTGTAGAGTGTGTTGTGGTGTGTAAGTGTGTTGTGGTGTGTAGAGTGTGTTGTGGTGTGTAGAGGTGTACTGTGGGGGTTGTAGAGTGTGTGGTGTGCAGAGTGATGTGGTGTGTAGAGTGTGTTTGGTGTGTAGAGTTTTTGTGGAGTGTAGAGTGTGTTATGGTGTGAAAGAATGTATTGGTGGTGTGTAGAGTGTTGTGGTGGTAGAGTGTTGTGGAGTGTAGAGTGTGTTATGGTGTGTAGAATGTATTGTGGTGTGTAGAGTGTTGTGGTGTGTAGAGTTTGTGGAGTGTAGAGGTCGTGGTGTGTAGAGTGTGCTCTGGTGTGTAGAGTGTGCTCTGGTGTGTAGAGTGTGCTTGGTGTGTAGAGTGTTGTGGTGTGCAGAGGGGATGTGGTGTGTAGAGTGTGTTATGGTGTGTAGAGTGTGCTCTGGTGTGTAGAGTGTGCTCTGGTGTGTAGAGTGTGCTCTGGTGGGTTGAGTGTGCTCTGGTGTGTCGAGTGTGCTCTGGTGTGTAGAGTGTGCTCTGGTGTGTAGAGTGTACTGTGGTGTGTAGAGTGTACTGTGGTGTGTAGAGTGTATTGTGGTGTGTAGAGTGTACTGTGGTGTGTAGAGTGTGCTCTGGTGTGTCGAGTGTGCTCTGGTGTGTCGAGTGTGCTCTGGTGTGTCGAGTGTGCTCTGGTGTGTCGAGTGTGCTCTGGTGTGTCGATTGCCTCTCTCACCCCATATGGTGTAAAAATATTTTTAGAGAATTCTTTTAGAGATATATTCTGTTATTACCCACTACAAATTGAAAACAGTTTCCTCAAATATGAAGTGAAAATCCCCGTTTACTCTAAATATAATTCAGCATGTCTTTTTCTAATTATGTAATGTGTCATTGACTCTTATGTCAGTTTAGATTTGAGTTATTCATATATGACATATAGTCCTAATAGTGTAATTCTCATAGCGTATATATGGTAAGGTCTTATTTTAAACTTTGTTTAAGGGACTGAAGTATTCTTATCTGATGGTGAGAAAGGTTACGTAGAGCCTTAATGATCTTAGTGTAATCGACAGGTTTTAATTGCTGTTAACCAACGATATGTGTTGGTAAACAATAACGATAATTTCTCCCACAGTGGAACCCTGTACTTGATAAAAGCATCCCTGTCAATGTGGCTTATCCAGCTAAAAGTGACTTTAAAACCTACATCAGTATGTTAGACAATTTTAACGCAGTCATATATTACCTCTGTGATGGATAAGGATCCAACTTTTATATGTTCTGGAGATGAAGTCGCTGAGTGAAGCGCTCACTCACTGGAAAAGAAGGTGTTCTGCTGGAGGCTGCCAGATGGCTAGTGTTGGTGCCATCAGCTGCAGGTCCTTATATAAACTGTCTTATGTAACGACCGCCTGGCAAAGCCATTCTTATTAGACGCAAATCTGTGGTCACCTTGGGAAGGTAGCGTTCGTGCGCGCGACGGTGCTTGACTATGTGTCTGTGCCTCTATGTGTATTCACATACATGTGGTTGGAGGGATCGATTCACAGCTCTTGGCCCGCCTCTTCACTATTCACTACAAAGTCCACTCTCCCTCTCTCTAAGAACCACATTGTACCTCTTCTTAAAGCTAAAAACCAAACTTCTCGACTCCTGGTTTAGAAGGTTACAAGGTTACAAGGTCCGATTCTCAGCTGCTGGCCGTGTGTGTGCGTATGTTTATGAGTGTGCGTGTGTTCGTCTTTGTGTGTGTGTGTGTTTGTGTGTGTGTGTATGTGTGTGTGTGTGTGTGTGTGTGTGTGTGTGTGTACTCACCTAATTGTACTCACCTAATTGTGGTTGCAGGGGTCGAGACTCAGCTCCTGGCCCCGCCTCTTCACTGATCGCTACTGGATCCTCTCTCTCTCTGCTTCCTGAGCTTTGTCATACCTCTTCTTAAAACTATGTATGGTTCCTGCCTCCACTACTTCACTTGCTAGGCTATTCCACTTGCTGACAACTCTATGACTGAAGAAATACTTCCTAACGTCCCTGTGACTCGTCTGAGTCTTCAGCTTCCAGTTGTGACCCCTTGTCCCTGTGTCCCCTCTCTGGAACCCATCCTATCTCTGTCCACCTTGTCTATTCCCCGCAGTATCTTGTATGTCGTTATCATGTCTCCCCTGACCCTTCTGTCCTCCAGTGTCGTCAGTCCGATTTCCCTTAACCTTTCCTCGTACGACTTTCCCCTTGAGCTCTGGGACTAGCCTTGTTTGCAAACCTTTGTACTTTCTCTAACTTCTTGACGTGCTTGACCAGGTGTGGGTTTCCAGACTGGTGCTGCTTTACTCCATATGGGCCTAACATACACAGTGTACAGTGTCTTGAACGATTCTTATTGAGGTTCGGAACGCTATTCTCAGGTTTGCCAGGCGCCCGTATGCTCCCAGCGGTTATTTGGTTGATGTGTGCCTCCGGTGATGTACTCGGTGTTATGGTCCCCCCAAAGGTCTTTCTCCTGAGTGAGGTCTGTAGTCTTTGTCCACCTAGCCTATATTCTGTCTGCGGTCTTCTTTGCCCCTCCCCAATCTTCATGACTTTGCATTTGGCTGGAATTGAATTCGAGGAGCCAGTTACTGGTCCACATGTCCAGCCTCTCCAGGTCTCTTTGCAGTCCTGCCTCATCCTCGCCCGGGATTTAATTCTTCTCTCAACTTCACGTCATCTGCGAACAGGGACACTTCAGAGTCTATTCCTTCCATCATGTCGTTCACATATATCAAAAATACATGGTCCTGAACTGACCCCTGTGGGACCCCGCTCGTAACAGGCGCCCACTGTGATACCTCTTCACGTACCATGACTCGTTGCTGCCTCCCTGTCAGGTATTCCCTTATCCATTGCAGTGCCCTTCCTTTTATGGGGCCCTGATCCTCCAGCTTTTTCACTAATCTCTTGTGGGGAACTGTGTAAAAGGCCTTCCTGCAGTCTAGGAAAACGCAATCTACCCAACCCTCTCTCTCGTGTCTTACTTCTGTTCCCTTTGGGCATAAAACTCCGGAGGTTTGTGATACAGATTTGCCCTTTCCCTGAACCCATGCTGGGTTTTCATTTATAATCTTTTCCTTTCCAGGTGTTCGACCACTCTCCTCCTGATAATCTTCTCCATGACTTTGCACACAATACATGTCAGAGACACAGGTCTGTAGTTTAGTGCCTCGTTTCTGTTTCCTTTCTTAAATATGGGACTACATTAGCTGCTTCCATTTCTCAGTAGTTGCCCAGTTTCAAGGGATGTGTTGAAGATTGTGGTTAGAGGCACAACAAACATCTCTGCTCCTTCTCTAAGGACCCATGGGGAGAATGTTGTCCGGTCCCATCGCCTTTTAGGTGTCAAGGTCACTTAAGAGCTTTTTTTCCCCCTCCTCCTCAGTTGTTTTGTATGTCATCCAACACTTGTTGGTATATTTCCTCTTGATGTTCCCTTCTGTGCTGTCTTCCCACAGCCCTTCCTGTCTCTACTGTAAAAACTTCCTTAAAACTCCTGTTCACTCCTCACATACCTCCTGATCATTTTTTGTGAGTTCTCCACCTTCTGTCCTTAATCTGTCACCTGGTCTTTGACTGTTGTCTTCCTCCTGATGTGGCTATACAACAGTTTTTGGGTCAGTCTTGATTCTCGATGCTATGTCATTTTCATACTGTCGCTGGCCTCCCCTTACTGTGCGTACTCATTCCTGGCTCTGCGACTGATCTCCCTATTTCGTGTGTTCTCTGCTTCTGTACTTTTTCCATTCTCTATTGCACTTTGTTTTTGCCTCCTTACACCGTCGGGTAAAAACCCGGGGGTTGTTCTGGTCTTCCCGTTGTTACTGTTGCCCTTGGGAATGAACCTTTCCACTGCCTCCTTGCATTTTGTTGCTACATATTCCATCATTTCATTTACTGGCTTTCCTGCCAGTTCTCTGTCCCACTGGACCTCCCGCATGAAGTTCTTCAACCCCATGTAGTCCCTCTTTTATAGTCAGGGTTTTCCCCTTCTACTCCCGTTATTCTCTCCACTTGCAGCTCTACTATGTATTCAAAGCACAGAACCACGTGGCGCTAGCTCCTAGGGGACTCTCATACTTGATGTCCTCAATGTCTGAGCTGCCCAGGGTGAAACACAAGGTCCAATCTTGCTGGTTCATCCTCCCCTCTCACTCTGGTAGTGTCCTTAACATGTTGGTGCAAAGAGGTTTTCCAGCACCACGTTTCCAAATCCTGGCTCTCCATGTTTTGGGACCCCCATGTGGCCCCCAGGGTTTTCCCAGTCAATCTCCCGTGGTTGAAATCCCCCATAACCAGCAACTTTGCTCTGCTGGAGTGAGCTCTTCTTGCCACCTCAGCAAGTGTTCCACCATTGCTCTGTTGCTCTCTTCATATTCCTCTCTTTGGGCCCCCTGCAGTTCTGTGGTGGATTATACATCCTGCAATGACCACTTTGTGTTCCCCGATGGAAGTGTACCTGCTATGTAGTCTCTTTCTCCTGTCTCATCTATTCCTTCCATTTTCTCGAATTTCCATCTGTTTTTTACGAGCAGAGCAACCCACCTCCCCCCCCAACCCCTTCTATCTTTCCTCATGATCTGGTATCCTGGTGGGAAGATTGATCTGTTATTGTCTCCATGAGTTTTGTTTCTGTAACTGCTATGATGTCTGGGGACTTCTCATTGATTCTTTCTTGCCATTCCTCATGTTTATTCGTTAATCCATCTGCATTTGTGTACCAAACCTTCAAATTCTGTTCTAATACTGTAACTGTGGTGCGGGGGGTGGAAACAGAGGGATCGGTGTGTGATGGTTGGTTTGGAATGTTCAGTTGCCCTTTGGGGGGGTCGTGGCTGGAGTCCTTCTGCAGGTGTTTCTGGGGGGTGCGCTTGTCCTTCCATTTGATCCTGGGTTATTTGCTTCCTTTTTCATTTCCTCCATTCTCCTTTCGTTTTGAACTCTCTCTTTCATTGTCTTCCTTTCGTCCTGTGTTTTTGTCTCGGTCGAGGTACACACTCCGGAACTCCTGCTTGCCTTCAGCCGTTTCTTTCTCCTGCAGGGTCATGGTTCGGGTTGATTCTGCCTTGAAAATTACTTGAGAGGGCCCATTCCTTTTCTTTGTGAACCCCCCAATTCTCCGAAAATTTGCCACCCGGGTCAGTCCCCTCGCCTATCACCTTCATGATGTCTTCAATCGCTTTTTCTCCTCCTGCTTTCTTTCATCATAAGTTTCCCCTTTAGCTTCGTCTAGCCATAGACAAACACGGATCTCTCCCTTTCCACCTCCCACTGTGACTCCCATTGCATCCTCTGATGTGTTTTAGTTTCCTTCCCGTGGAGTGTTCCTTCCTTCAGTCCCTTCCTCGTTATGGCCCCCATGCTTCTTGGTTTATCCTTCCTGCTCACTTGCTCCTGGCCCCCACAGGTACTGGTAAGGTCTTTGCACATGTCCTAGTTTCCCTCAATGTCTTCCAACCTCTCTTTCTGTCCTAGAGTGCTCCCTGTCTTTTGTTTTGGCCCATGTGGGTTTGACAGGACCTCTGCCCTACAGTTTAGTTTTTCCCTGCTTCCTTCGGACCTGTTGTCGTGTCGAGGTAGCCATTGCCGATGTCTTCTGTAAAATCTTTGTCTCTGTGCTGTTTTCAGATGTCTCAGCTCCTCTTCTAATCTCTCTATCTTTTTCTGCTGCTGTGGCCTTGTTGCTTCCACCTTCTGCATTCTGCTGCTAACCTCTCTTCCATCTTCCTTTCCAGCTCATCTAGTCTCCTTCCCAGTCTTCCTCCCTTTTTTTGAGCTCTATCTCCCATTCTCCCTCTCAGATTCGTCCCTTTGGGGCCCCTTGTCCTCATCCTGGTTAGGGGGAGGGGAATAGACGGTTAGGGAGAGGGGATGGATGTTGTGGGGGAGGGGGAGGATGGTTATTGGAGGGGCAGAGATAGTTGGGGGGGGGAGTTAGATGGTGTGGGGGAGGGAGTTAGATGGTTTGGGGGAGAGAGGGGATGGATGGTTATGGGGGAAGGGGAGGATGGTTATGGAGGGAGGGAGGTTGTTTTGGGGGGGGGTTAGACGGTTTGGGGAGGGGTTAGGTGGTTTGGGGGGGGGGTAGGTGGCTAAGGCTAAGGTGTCAAGTGGAGGAGGGTGTGTGTGTGTGTGTGTGTGTGTGTGTGTGTGTGTGTGTGTGTGTGTTGCGTGGGGTGTGTGTGTGTATGTGTGTGTGTGAATGTGTGTGTGTGAATGTGTTGTGTGAATGTGGGGTGTGTGTGTGGTTTTGTGTGTGTGTGTGTGTGTGGGGTGTGTGTGTGCGGTGTGTGTGTGTGTGTGTGTTTTGTGTGGTGTGTGTGTGTGTGTGTGTGTA